TGCTTAATAAATGTCCAGGCAATAAGAACAGAAGGAGTCAGGCCCAGTGGTGCACACCTGTAATCTCAGCTTTCTGGGAGGCTGCGGCAGCAGGATCTCAAGTCAGAGCCCAGTGTGGGCAGATTAGAAACTTAGTGAGCCCCTACCTCAAAATAATAACAAAATAGATAATGAAATGGGGTGGGATGTACCTTAGTGCAAAGGCTCAGGGTTGTTCAATCCCCGGCTCCACCACCACCACTGCCACCAAAAAAAAAAAAAAAAAAGAGTGGAACCAAACAGGGGAGGCTGGACATCGGCCCTAGGCAGCAGGATCACCTCTTGGGGACAATTGTCCTCGGGGCCAGCCTCCGTGGAGGGCGCCCTGCAATGTCTATAGTGACACCTGCTGCCCATAAAGAGGGTGGACTCCTGTCCTTTTCAGCTAAAGGGGCAGAGTGGAAACTTGAGCGTGTCCTTGTGCTGCCTGCCGCGTGTGTAAGATCAGTGTAGGTTTAAGGCACACTTGTGAGCGGAAACGAGTGTAAGCACGCACAGGAGGGCCCAGGCCCTTCTGAGGCCCGAGGAGTTCTGGCTTCTGGAGGCGCTATTCCCCACCGCAGTGAACATGAGAACACTCTCAAGGAATTTGTGCTTTAAAAACACTTTTCACTTGGATTGATTTGGTGCCAAGGAGCTCATTTACTTTCTGATCGCTTCTGACTTCTTGGTGATCGTGGTCTTAGGAAATCCATACCGAGTGATTTCTAATTTACAAACGTAAGCAAACGTTTGCCAATCGGTGAATTACAATTATGAAGTTGGCACGCTGGCTCGCTATGTTTTGGGGCCTTTATTTGAACATTTCTGTGTTTTTTCCTTTTCTTTCTGTCTTTTTTTTTTTGTATTGTGAAACCAGAAAAATTTCTTTTTCAGTCTCCAACATCTCCATAGGTCCTTGGAAGCCCAGATGAGTGAGGTGGCCTTAAACAGCGCCGGCGATGGGTGTGATTGGCCAACTGTTGATAAACGTCAATTAAGTCCCTCATTGAAGGTCACTGGGCGTGGGCCCGGCGGGGAAAGAGAACCTCCTCCCTTGCTTCCGCTGTCGCTCCCCATTCCCACACTTACACCAGTGCTGCTCGCCCCAAGACAGGCTGGACGAGGGGGACACAGGCCACCTGGGGGTGGGGCAGGGTGTCCCCGGGGTCCACGCTGACTCCGAGTGGACGCTCAGCACTCCGGGTCGCCGGCTTTCTCCGGCCTTGCGGGGCTGCGGGCCATGGCCCTCCCACGTGACAGGTGAGCCGCCTCGGGACACGTGCTCAGGGCTTCCTCTGGATGGCGGGCTCCGCGGCCCCGATGACTTGGCG